ACATAGAGTACTTATTATTTGCTACCTTTTTTGGTTGTTAGTACCATTTTTGAGTCTGATGTAATGATGAATTGGCAGGAAAATCAAGAGGTAAAAAGCTAGCATGATACCAGATGTCAAACATCATCAGAACTAGTCATTTAATTCCAGATGCTCTCTCAGGAACAGTTATTTCTTTCTTCTTTCATTGCTAGAGGGTATGTGTGCTTACCAGAGAGAGAGAGAAGCCATCCCCAAATGGGGCATAGTTATGTCACAGACCTTTTTCCTCTATTTTTCCATACTATTTAGACATGTATGCACATGCGTCAAGCCACCAGGACCAGGATATGAACTGTGGTTGGCTACATGGGATCTAGATCCCTTATCTGCTGAGTTATGGGGCCAGCCTGGATTTTTTTTAATTTGGGGGATTTTTTTTCCCCAAGCCACCCAGGCTGGGGTTCTCGCTACAGTCAGTCATGTGGGATCCAGCTGTTCTAATTACTGTGCTGTGGAGCTAGCAGATGGCGTAGTGATTACATTGCTGGACTCCCACATGGCCAACCGCAGTTCAAGTCCAGGACCTGGTGGCTTGAAAATCACTCTAGGCACGTGTGCATGCATGCCCAAGATCCCTGGAGGAGAATGGAGGAGAGGGATTGCAGCATGGCCATCTCTGGGGATATTTCTCGCTTTCCCTCTCACTGTCTCTGTCTAGAAGCGTGATCTCACACGGCGATAGCCTGAATCCCCGGCCACATGGCCTGAACCCCGTTGGGCATGTGTATGAGTGCCCACGGTCTGCCAGACTGGAGAAATGGGATTGAGTCATGAGCAGATGTTGGGACTAGCAGATGGCATAATGGTTACGTTATTCGACTCCCACGTAGTTTGCTGCTGTTCAAGTTCTGGACTTGGTGGCTTAAACTCATGCTGGGTGTGTGTGTGTCATGCCCAAAATCCAAGAGGAAAATGGAGAAGAAGGGATTGTGGTGTGGCCCTCGTGATTTCTCACTTTCTGTCTCTCTGGTGAGGGCACACACCCTAGAGCAAAGATCTATCTCTTTCAAAAAAGAAGAAAGAAACATGAGCAGACCCTAGGGAGGGTATCTCCCTTCTCTTTCTCTCACGCATGTACATATATGCTGTAGGAGTAATAAAGAAAAAAATTAATTAAGCTTTGGCACTAGATAGCTCTTTTTTTTTTCAATTGCATTAGGACATGTGTGCTCACCGGAGAGTTGGAAAGTGAGAAATAACCTTCCAGGGGGATGGCAATGCCACAGTACTTTTTCTCAATTCTTCCCTTGGGATTTTGGGTACATACACACATGCACCAAGTATGTTTTTCAAGTTGCTGGGTCTAGGACTCAAACTGTGGAGTCAACAACTATCTGTCTCTCCAGCAAGTGCACACACTCTGTAGGAAAAAAAAAAAAAAAGCACAGTACTTTTACTTGTACATAGAGTACTTATTATTTGCTACCTTTTTTGGTTGTTAGTACCATTTTTGAGTCTGATGTAATGATGAATTGGCAGGAAAATCAAGAGGTAAAAAGCTAGCATGATACCAGATGTCAAACATCATCAGAACTAGTCATTTAATTCCAGATGCTCTCTCAGGAACAGTTATTTCTTTCTTCTTTCATTGCTAGAGGGTATGTGTGCTTACCAGAGAGAGAGAGAAGCCATCCCCAAATGGGGCATAGTTATGTCACAGACCTTTTTCCTCTATTTTTCCATACTATTTAGACATGTATGCACATGCGTCAAGCCACCAGGACCAGGATATGAACTGTGGTTGGCTACATGGGATCTAGATCCCTTATCTGCTGAGTTATGGGGCCAGCCTGGATTTTTTTTAATTTGGGGGATTTTTTTTCCCCAAGCCACCCAGGCTGGGGTTCTCGCTACAGTCAGTCATGTGGGATCCAGCTGTTCTAATTACTGTGCTGTGGAGCTAGCAGATGGCGTAGTGATTACATTGCTGGACTCCCACATGGCCAACCGCAGTTCAAGTCCAGGACCTGGTGGCTTGAAAATCACTTTAGGCACGTGTGCATGCATGCCCAAGATCCCTGGAGGAGAATGGAGGAGAGGGATTGCAGCATGGCCATCTCTGGGGATATTTCTCGCTTTCCCTCTCACTGTCTCTGTCTTTCTGGTGAGCACACACGGTGCTATGGCAAATAACTCTAAGCAGGAAAAAAAAAAAAAAGCTATTGCGCTAATGGACCAGTCTAGAAATAATGATTTCTTAGAATTAAAATATGCACTTATAAGAGTAATTCCAGGAGCCAGTAGTGGCATGGTGGTTAAGGCACTGGACTCCCACATGGCCAATCACAGATTGAATCCCAGACCTGATGACTTGCTTTCTCATTTTCGCTCTCTCTGGTGAGTTCACATGCCCAATATTAAATTTAAAAGTGATAATAATTAATAAAGTTAAATAAATAATTTTAAAAATAAAAATAATGGATCGAATTCCCTCCTCTCCCTTTTTTAAGGTTTTTGCCATAGTTTGTGTGTGCTTGCCAAAGAGAGACAGACAGTGGGAAAGTAAGAAATCACCCCCCAGGGGGTTGACCAAACTGCAGTTCCTTCTTCATTCTCCCCTTGGGATTTTGGACATGCATGCCCACATGCCTGGAGTGATTTTCAAGTTACTAGGTCCAGGACTTGAACTGTGGTGGCCCATGTGGGAATCTACCACCTTAACCACCAGGCCACCTGCTGGCACCTTCTCTTCCTACTTTAGTCAAGTCCTTGGAATAGTGGGATGTATTTGTAACTTTTTACTTTGCAGCTGAAGTGGCTTGACAATAAGAGAAGGAGTAGACCTACTAGGTTTATTTTCAGTATCTTGTTCAAGTGTTAGTTTCTTAATGCAAATTCATCTTTACTCCCTATTCCTGCACTTCTCAGCTCACTTCTAAAACTTTTTATAGCACCCTTTTCCTCCCTATTGCATTTAAGACATTTCTATACTTATTGGAGGGCACAAAGGGAAGAAGGGAGAGGAAAAAAGAGAAATACAAGGTGTTTTTTTTTTTTAAGAATTATATCATTTAACTTTATTTATTTTATTTTAATTTTACCAGTGAGGGATAGAGTGAGAGAGAGAAAAAATGAGAAAGCAAGCTGCCAGGTCCAGTTCTCAAACTGCGGTTGGCCACGTGGGAGTCCAATGCCCTTGACCACCACGCCACCTGCCAGCCCCCCCACCCTTTTCAGAGAGTTTTTTTTCTGTAGACTGCCTGCACTCGTTAGAGAGACAGAAAGTGAGGAAGCATCCCCTGAGGAGGATGGCCACACCACAATCCCTTCTCCTCCATTCTCCTCTCAGGAATTTGAGCACGTATGCACACACACTTGGTGTGAGTTATGCTGCCAGGTCTGGGACTCAGACCACGGTCAGCTACGTGGGAGTCCAGTGACATAATCATTATGGCATCTGCTGGTCCCCAAGTTGTTATTTTTTTTAAGAATTATTTAACTTATTATTGCCTTTTCGGGAAAGTCATCGACATATTTTTTGCACAGAAAAATGCGTCATGACTTTCCCCCATGACCTGATATCATTATTTTTAAATTTTGCTATGGGGCACACGCATGCACCAGAGAGAGGCGGAGAGGGAGAGAGAGGGAAAATGAGAAGGCAAGTTGCCAGATCTAAACTTGAACTTTGGAATTGGCCATGTGGGAGTCCAGCGTCTTAACCACCATGCCACCTGCTGGCCCAAATTTTAAAAATACATATGCATTTGATTCTCATTCCTCATGGTAGCTATATTCCATAAAGTTGTTCTGAGCACTGAATTAGTGAATACTGAGCTATCACTCCTAGCGGATATATAGGATTAGATTCTTGTGAGCCTCTGGTCACATTTTCATCAACCAATCAATAAACTTGCTTTATGTATATTTCTGTTTAAAGGCTTATTTAATATATGTAGTTAATGCACTAACATTAAACTCACATAAGCTTTCTCTATAAGGCATATCATAGCCTTTTCCACTTAAAAAAGCTAGCCAGCGCTTCAACATCGCATCTGGGGGCCCTTTTAAACAGCAAAATCACCAACATAAAGCACAAAAATGTGAAAAATATGACATGACCCAAACTGTGAAAGGGCATTTGTCAACAGTATGAGTGCTGAAACAGGAAGGCAGACCTTAGCTAAGAATGTGTGTGTTGAGCAACTCAAATTTCTCCTGATCTTCACATGTTCTCAGATGCCCATGGAAGAGCTACGAGCATTGATTTGGGGGTAATACATTTCAGCCAGTAGATAAACTTGCAGATAAGAATCTATAGATTATGAGGCTCACCTGTACGTATGTCTGTTAACTAAAGCCCCAGATAACGTCTGTGTCCTTCATTATGTTTCAAAAACGAGATCATTTCTATTTCTGGACTTGATATACGTATCTACATAATGAGTGGTAAATGTTGGAGGTTAGGATAAAAATGGCACCAGTATCCCACTAGTTTCTGATCAGTCTCCCACTACCTTTAAGACAAGAATTGAGCAGTTTGTGACTCGGATTATCTGGGCTCTTTGTTAATAACTTACAGACTCAGTTTGTTAAAGCTACTGTTAATTTCTCAAAGCCTAGCCATTGCTATATCATTTTTTCTCCTCCCCACTTTTTAAATTGCTAACTCTTGCTTTTTATTTGCTTTAATGGGTTTTTGTTTTACTGTGTCTATTTTTGTTTTGTTGCAAGCTGCCTGAAATGTTTTTTGGAAGTAGGTGAAGTATAAGTAAATATATTTATTGATAAAAAGAATATTACATAACTTTCTTTAGGATGAGGATGTCTGTAGACATGTCTTTCATAGCAAAATTAGAAGACATCGCAATTTGGGGCCATAATAGAATAGTAGGAAAACTCTTATATTATATTGACTGGCCTTTTTCCATACTTAGATACACAGTGTAAATAGGAAACAAATAACTTTTTAATTTTGAAATTATTCTTCCATCTAATATTATGCATTGGTTCCATAGGCTTTGTAGCTGAGCAGTTTCTAAATAATACAGCCACTCAACTGACATACCATGGATTATGTGAACTAACTTCAACTGTTCAAGAAGGAGAACTCTGTGTGTTCTTTCGGAATAATCATTTTAGTACCATGACCAAATACAAGGTATGATATAAAATAGCTATTTGATTCTTATATTAATTAAGTACAAGGAGCTTGATTTAGAGATGCCTTTGATTATTTCAAAATAAAACATTATAACATAATATTCCTTGATTATCAAATTTTAAAGGTAAGTAAGTATTTCTTTAGGGTGAAATGGATTAATGAAATATCTTAAATAAGTTTTTGCTTTTTAATTGAATCTTAACTTCCTTTTCACAGAGTACTATATTAAGAAGTGTTATTATTTTTTTTTTCTAAGAAAAATAAATAAACCTACTGATATAGCTTAGGATGACTTCCTTTTGGGTAATTTAATTTATTTCTTAAATGAGAGGAGGAGACAGAGGAGGGGAAGAGAGGAGCAGCAGGGTCCTCTCGCCTCATCCTGATCCCGGCCTCAGCCAGCCCAGATGATGGGCACATGGATACACACACTCAGCACGCACAGGAAGACCTCTGGATCCAAACCAGGGATTTTCCAAGATGGCCTCAGCTGTGCAAAAGGTTACTTTACTGCTGTGCCACCACAACTAATCAGAACTAGAAAGTCTAATGATGAATGTTTATATTTGAGGTGTAAAGGAGTTTAGAAGAAAAAATTGGGGCCAGTAGATGGTATGGTGGTCAAGGTGCTGGACTCCCACATGGCTGACTATGGTTCGAGTTCTAGACCTGGCATCTTGTTTTCTCAATTTCCCCCTCCCTTTCTTGTCTTTCTCTGGTGAGAATATGTGCCCTATAGGAAATTAAATAATAATAATAATAAAAATAAATAAAATAGGTTTTTTTAAAGAAAAAATTAAGATTTGCCTTTATGATATTTTGCTGTTACTAAAGTTATTGATGTGACTATATATTCTTCTTATAGTGCTATTTATGTCCCTGGCAAAAACAAAAAACTGGGGCCAGCAGATGGCATAATGGCTATGTTACTGGACTCCCATGTAGTCAACCATGGTTTGAGTTCCAGACTCAGTGGCTTAAACTCATGCTGGTTGCGTGTGCGTGTGTGCCCAAGATCCCGAGAGGAGAATGGAAGAGAAGGGATTGCGGTGTGGCCATCATCCCTGGGGGGTGATTTCTCGCTTTCTGTCTCTGTCTCTCTCTGTCTTTCTGGCAAACGAGTACGCGCCCTATAGCAAAAACCTCTCCTAAACAAACAATTTCTACCCCTTTTGTTTTCTCTTGCATCCATCCTTTTCTTTCTGTTCGTATAGCTGTCACCTAGTTCAAGAGGTTATCACCTTATAGTTAAACTTCTACAGGTGAAGGCTACTCTAATCAGTCATGTCAATAAAATAGCCAAAACATTTAGTAGCACCTAGTGCCTAGAAGATAAAAATGCAGATATGTTCTATTCCTCAGTGTCAGCACTGCTTCAGCCAAAGTGGTGTCTGCTCACCGCCATTGACCCTCCGTCCCTGTACATACTTTATTCTTTCTCATATTTGCTCCTTTACTGACATTTCTTATCACTTGATTTTTATTTGGAAGGCTCTTCTCACTCTATTTTTTGCCTACCCAAATTTCATCTCTTATATAAGAGGTTCTCAGTTCAGTTGGTGGTATGCTGGAACTACCTGGGAGCTGTTTTGTTGTTGTTGTTTTTAAGGTTTTTTGCCACAGGACACGTGCACTCACCAGAGAGACAGAGAGAGACAGTGAGAAGGAAAGTGAGAAACATCCCCAGGGGTTATGACCATGCCACAACCCCTTCTTCCTCCAGACTCCTCCCGGAACTTAAGGCATGCATGTATGCGCACTTGGCATGAGTTTAAAAACGCCAGGTCTGGGACTCAAACCATGGTCAGCCATATAGGGGTCCAACACCTTTAATCACCACACCAATCGCTTCCCCCTTTGGGATCTTTTTTTTTGAAAAAATCAACAATAAAGGGACCAGCACATGGTATAATGATTATATTACTGGACTCCTGTATTGTTGGCTGCGGTTCGAGGTTCAGATCTGGTGACTTGAAACTCACACCAGGTGCATGTGCATGCATTTCCAAAATCCCAAGAGGACAATGAAGATGGGATTGCAGTGTGGCTATCCCCCAGGGGGGTGATTTCTCGCTTTCTGTCTTTCTCTTTCTCTGTGTCACCGGTGAGTGCATGCATCCTAGATCAAAAATTTCTCTAAAAAAAAAAAAAAATACACACCAAAGTTGGGCTAGCCCATGTTGTGTTGGTTAACTCAGCTGGACTCCACAGGGCCAATGGCACAGTTCAAATCTCAGACCTGACAGCTTGAGAAACACACTGGGTGCATGTGTGCGCATGCCCAAAATCTCAAAAGGAAGAAGTTGAGGAGAAGGGATTGTGGCATGACCGTTCCTTATGGGAGGGTGCTTCTCACTTTCCCTCTCCAGTGAGTGCACACTCCCTCTGGCAAAATTAAAAAAATAAAAACAAAAACAAACCCAGAACCTACCACCAGCCAGTTCAATTAATCCAGACTCTGTAGAGGTGTAGCACCTGCCCTTAGAACTGCCTCTGAGTTAGTTAAATGTTAGTTAAATGGTTTTGATATTGAAATAATTTCAGCGTACAGATCATGATTTGGGGAGAGGGTGATATTTATAAGAAAAATATGGAATAATAAGAAAAGAAAAGGCCTAGGACAGAGATTTGAGGAGTGCCTGCATTTAAGGATTAACTAGAGGAGATGGCAAAGGAGACTGAGAAGAGAAATTCTATAAGGAATATGGTATCTTGAGAATGAGGAGTGTTCCAAGAAGGATGGAGCGCTCAGCTGTTCAGTGCTGTTGAGAAGCTGGACGTGTAAGATAAGGAGTTGGGCAGGAGGGACATAGAAGATAGTAGCAGAAACAGCATTGGAGTTGCTTACAGAATGACTGAGATGTCAGGGAGTAGAAACAGGCTGTAGGCAACTCCAGGAGAGACTTGGTATGGGAGCACAGGCATCGTGGCTCCTCACAGTGAAACACACAGAGGGTTTTTTCTTTTTGGTCATGTTTATTCAATAGACAGAAAAAGGTAGAAGATTCAGGCAAGGGGATAATCGATTTTAGGTTTCTAGAAAGGTTAGAAAGGATGCGAACCTTCATTGGTAAACGGGATTGACATTTTTCTTTTCTTTTCTTTTTTTTTTATGTTTTTGCCATAGGATGCATGTGTTCACGGAGAGACAGAGACAGTGAGAGGGAAAGTGAGAAATGACTCCCCAGAGGGGATGGTCACACCACAGTCCTTTCTATCCCATTCTTCTCTCAGGATTCTGAGCACACATGCACACGTACCTGGCATGGTATTTTTCAAGCCACTGGGCCCGGGTCAGCCTGTGGGAGTCCGACACCTTAACCACCACACAACCTGATGGCCCTGGAAATTGACCTATGATTTAAAATGTAACTTCTGGGACCAGTGGGTGGCATAATGGTTAAGGTGCAGAACACTCCCACATGGCCAACCATGGTTTGAGTCCTGGACCTGGTGGCTTGCTCTCTCACTTTCCTTCACTCTGTGTGTCTCTCTGGCCAAAATTAAATAAGTGAATAAATAAAATTAAATAATTCTTTAAAAATAAAATGGAACTTCTCTACCATAATGGAAAGAAAGAATAGATGATAAGAATAGCTACAGATAAATTTGTAGAGTTGATGGCAAGATGCAGAGAAAGGTACTGTTGTTTTATGAATGAGAGAGAATGTGCAGGAGGGAGAGAGACAGACTATTTTTGACAGGCTCTCATGTCCTGAACGTCCTGCCTCAGCCTCACAGCCATCCAGGACTACAGTTAGTGCCATCAGGGCCAGCCTGTTTCGGGTTGGGCCCGGAACCACACTGGGCCCCCACGCAGCCACAGCCATCACACAGCATCCTCCTCCTTGCCGCTCGCTCGCTCAGCTTCTGGGCTAGAAAGGTAGGGTTTAAATGCTTCTGTGTTTTCTGTCATGTAAATGCAAAAGCATTTACTGAAACTAAGTAGGAGTAAGGAGTTAAGATTCCAGATTAGAAAAGAGAATTCTGGGTCCATAGCCTAGTGGTTAAGGAACAGATCTCACATGGTCAGCTCTGGTCTGAATCCCACCCACGGCAGCTTGGAAAATACACTGGGCATTTTATATGTACATGCCCCACATCTCAACAGAAATAGAGCAATGGAGAAGGGATTGTGGGATAATTCTGCCCCACTAGGGGGTGCTTTCTCCCTTTTCCTATTTCCCTGTCTCTCCGTATCTCTCTGGTGAGTACATTGTTTTTCTCTGCTGAGTTTTAATTACCCTCTGGCAATTAAAAGAAAATAGTTTGAAATAGTCCTTGCAAATGGGGCTAGCAGGTGGCATGGTGGTTGGGGCCTGGAGTCCCTTGTGGCCGTGGTTTGAGTCTCAGACCTTGTTTTCTCTCTCTCGCTCTCTGGTGAGCACATGTGCCCTAGAGCAAATTTTAAAAATAATAATAATCAATAAATAAAAATAGTCCTTTCCAGGCCAGATGTGGTGTGATGTTTAAGGCAGCTGGATCCCACGTGGCTAACCGCCTGGTTCAGTCCCAGACCTGGTGGCTTGAAAAACATGCGGGGCACTTGTGAGTGGATTCTTGCCCAAAATCTTGTGAAAAAAATGGAGAAGGGATTGCAGCATGTTCATCCCCCTAGGGGATGGGAGTGCTCCCCCCCACCTCCCTGCCATGTCTCTCTGGTGAGTGCATGTGCCCTAAAACAAATGAACAACAATAATAACAGTAGTTCTTGTACCACATGGAAGAAAGCTTGTACTAAATAAATTATAAAGGATGACCAGGCAGTGGGAAGAATGGTAATTATTTTTATTTTATTTTAATTTTTATAGAGATTTTTGCTATAGGGTACATGTGCTCACCAGAGAGACAGAGAGAAATACAAAGAGAGAAAGTGAAATACCAACCCCCTGGGGAATGGCCACGTATTAGTCCCTTCTCCATTCTCCTCTTGGGATTTTAGGCACACATGCACATGTGCCTGGTATGAGTTTCAAACCACTGGGTCCAGGATTTGA